GAGTTACGAAGCACTTCTTTGACTCGGTCGTGGCTGAGCTCAAGGCCAACTCTGTTGGACGCGCCGAGGGTTCATCGTTCCCTGCCGAGAGCGGCTATGTCAAGGATGGAGAGGAATCTGCCACACCGGGCATCATCATTGCCATCCGTCGGCTGGTTTCAAGCTACGCTTTGGCCTTCCTGCGCAAAACCGCGATCCTGCTACATGTCCAGCACGGCGTCGAGTTCCCCAACACCGGTTTCGCGGACATGGGTGCCTCCGAGCTGGACCGTCTGACCAAGGCCCTACATTTGCCCTCGCTCGACGAGATTTTTCTTTCCATCAACCCGGCGCGGAAGAGCAACAGTCCCTTCGATGCGGTCATCTCTGGTTGGATCTTCCACTGGAACGCCTCGCGCTCTGGAATCCGGTTCGAAGACCACCGGCTCTGGCCGAGTCTGCCACACCCTGCCATCTTCGAGCTTGTCGGTCTGCCCAAATACTATGACAGTCTGATCGAAGAGGCGAATCGCCGACGGTGCCCGAACACGAAGAAGGAGCTCACCGATCCGAGCATCTGTCTCTTCTGCGGAGATATCTTTTGCTCGCAGGCTGTCTGCTGCCATCATAACAAGCTGGGCGGATGCAACCAGCACATACAGAAGTCAGATTTTTCAGTACCCCTCTTGCTAGGCTCCAGATCGCTAATCTTTGTTTCTTCTAGATGTGGCAAAAACATCGGCCTCTTCATCAATATCCGCAAATGCACCGTCCTCTACCTGCACAACCACAACGGCTCCTGGCATTTTGCCCCGTACCTCGACCGACACGGCGAGGTTGATCCGGGTCTGAGACGCAACCGCCAACTCATCCTCAACCAAAAACGCTACGACAGACTACTGCGTGATGTATGGCTGTCACACGGTGTCCCAGCGACCATTAGCCGCAAGTTGGAATCGGAAATCAACAACGGTGGGTGGGAGACGATCTAATGGGATCGATGGAGATGAAATACTAAAGAAAAAGTTTGGGTTTGGCTGGCGAGAGAGGGGTCTCGTTGTTGCAGCATGCTGGCGAACTGGGAAGTCGGGATGCTTGTTCCTTTTTTTTTTCTTTCTTCTTCTTTCATATTGGCTTTGCATTTATTGTACTTTCTTCCTCGCTCTGGTTTGGATTCTCTGAATGTACATCAAACTATACTAGATCGTTGGATATGATCAAGGCGATCTCTCTATTTGTACAAATCTCGCTATCTTATCAATGCCAAGATCTCTCTCCCTCAACCTCCAACTTTCTTTCAATGCAATTCCGACCACAGCTCAATTCTTGGAGTAACACGCCGCCATGAACAACGACCAATTCCGGCGGCTGCTCGCTGATAAGTCAACCTCCTCGACTTCAAAAAACGCATCCTCCCCATCAACCCGCGATGCAGCCCCCGGGGGCGCAACACCCAGCGGAGCACTGGGCTCGCGCATGCGCTCCAGCATCCCCATGACACCGTACGCTACCAGAACTATATTCCTCATATTATCCTACAAATCACAAAGCTAACATTTTTTCCACAGCCGCTCCGTAACAGGCATCGACTTCGCGCGCCAACTAGCCGACCAGCGCAACGACCAGCGGCCCACAAAGCGGTTCAAATCCTCCGCCGCGCCAAAGGGCACAAAACTCCCATCCGGATACCAAGACCGTGCACAACAGCGCAACACACAAGATGATGGTGAGATGGACGAGAGCGGCGGGGATGACATCCAGAAACGCGTGCGCGCGCTAGAGGAGATGGTGAAACTGGGCCAGATTGATCAGGGCACTTTTGAGAATCTTTGCAAGGAGCTGGGCGTTGGTGGAGATGTGGGCAGTACGCATATGGTTAAGGGGCTTGATTGGGAGCTTCTGAGGAAGGTGCGTGCTGGGGAAGATGTTTCGAAGGCTAAGGAGAAGGAGGCCGCGGCTGCTCCAGTGCCGGGAGAAGATGAGGCGGTGGCCGAGGAGAATGCGGATGAGGCGTTTGAGCGGTTGATGGAAGAGAAGGGCTTGGAGGAGATACAGGCTGTACCGAGGGAGAAGAAGGAGAAGAAGAAGGGGACTATGGCGCCACCCCCGCCACGGAAGAAGACTCGAGATGAGATTCTGAAGGAGCTTAAAGCTAGCCGTAGCGCAGCTGCACCGCCGCCGCCGCCGGAGCCATCACTCGGGTCCAAGTTCAAAAAGTTTGGCGGTGGGAAGCCCGAGAAGAAGCGGTTTGTGGAAACGGACGAGACGGGGAGGCGACGCGAGGTGTTGCTTATTACAGATGCGGAGGGCAATACGAAGCGGAAGACGCGCTGGCTTGATCCGCCAGTTGAAATTAAGCCTGGGCTTCCTATGCCTGATAAAGGTTCGCAGCCACTTGGGATGGAAGTTCCTGCTGAGATTGCAGCGAAGGCTGCAGCTGCAGCTGCGCAACCAGAGGACGAGGATGATGATATTTTCGCGGGGGTCGGGGCCGACTACAATCCCCTCGCCGACCTGGAGGATGATGAAGGGTCTTCGTCAGACGAGGAAGGCGATCATACTGCTACGAAGCGTGAAAAGGTGCCCAAGGAAGTGGAACAGCCTGCTACGGATTCTACAGCGCCTTCCAAACCACGCAACTACTTTGCTGTGGGCACCTCTGTCACCGAACCTGAAGAACCAGAAGATCGCTCCAACCCACTCGCAAAGGATCCAACTATCCTCGCCGCACTCAAACGAGCGGCGGCCCTGCGCCAAGCATCTCCCTCCGCCGAGGACGAGGAGACCCAGGACACAGATGCCGCTCTGCGAAGCAAGCGGTTCCTCGAAGAGGCGCGGCGCCGAGATGCGCTGGATGCGGCGGACATGGACCTTGGGTTTGGGGGTAGTCGGAACGAAGACGGTGAGGATGAGCAAGCGGTTCTGCTTGATTTTGAGGATCGCGGCGGCAAGAAGCGGAAGCGGGGCCCCAAGAAGAAGAAGGGGGATAAGGATAGTGCGGCGGACGTGATGCGCGTGGTGGAGGGGCGCAAAAAGGATGCGGAATAGTTCGATTTAGCTGTGATTCTTTAATTCAAATACCCCGCAAAAGCTGGATCTGGTTTAAATGCTACTCTAAACTTGTAAATCCGCAGGTGGGTGGATGTTGTGCCTGAGCCTGAGCTTAATTAAGCTTAACTCGATCCCCATCTGGTGCCGCCCGCTGACCGATCTAACTGCCACCACCACTCACGACATACAGACTAAGCCTACCTGGTCGGGATATATGAATATAACTGTAGCAGCCATTCGATTCTCCAACAGGCAGAGGCTCTCTCATTCACTGGGCGGCCACGTACTACTAGGTACAATCTGGACCTGGTGCCTTCCCAAATAAGGTCAAGTTCTCGCATTCACCACCCAACCAGTTCATAATAAATAACAGGCCTGTTCCCGTCTTCCTCCCATCGTTTTCTCCCTCCTACGACTCCCCTCCTTCTCTTCTTCCTACCCGTTTTCTTCCCTTCCTGCTACCCACTTCCCATCCCCTTCTTCTCTGGTCACGCTTTTTATCCTTTCTCATCATCCTACCATCCCCCACCATGACTTCGAGTCCTGGTCATGCGTCTGCATGCATATACTGTGAGAGCTCTTCTCATCAGGTAAGAACTCTAGCGATTTCTTAGTCTGGCTTCGTGTGCGCGCCACGAGCCATCTTTTTTAGACCTCTGGTCTCGCCTACTTGTAGGCACTTGCCATCGCCAGAATGAGTGGAAGACCTTACTCAGCCTTGGGCCCCGGCTGATGGAAGACGATGTTGTCTGCCTTTGTCCTTTAGGTATCTTTGCGATTTGACGACTATCGTCGCTGTTAAAATATCCATGTGCTGTACCAGCCTTTCAGAGCTCGTCAGTGTGGAAGACATGAGAACTCGACTTACACAATCTGTCGAGTTGACTGTGTATAACGCCGCGAACCTGGTAAGCCCCTTCTGCTATTGTCCGAGTTGATCCATCGAGCTAACAAGCCACGCAGGCACGTGAGATTGGATTATGAGCTGCTTATCATTCAGGTAAGCGCTGAAAGTTACATCGGAGGCAGTGGCCAATAGATCTGTTGCTGCCTCACATTTTCTTGTTTTTGGTGCCTACCAGCTTGGTTAACAAGCTGACAGCAGTGCTATACTTCTTCTTTCCAGAGAGCATGGCAGTGTCTACTTCGTTGATCATATCAAATACGCTTGGGTAAATGCCTCGTTTTTGGTCAAGATTGAACTGTCAGGCTAATGGGACTTTTGCCAGTACCCAAGCAAATCATCGAAATGGAAGTACGTGCTGTCAGATCACGGAAGTTTGGATTATTCGTGTATTATAAATCTTATTCATAGTCAAGATGTGTAAACAGATTCCTCCGCAGGAGCATTTTTAAAGATATAATCTCGATCTTCTCTAAGTGCATGTCGCATCGGGGGCTTTAACAGTGCCAATGCCATTTCAGAGAATTCGTGTTCCTACTAGAGCTAGGCAACTTAAACCGACGTGGTTTGCTGGCATGTGACGTGGCTGGCTGAACTGCATGGTAGTCACAAGCAACCCGAATGAGTGAGAGAGAATGTGGCATTGTCTCTTCATTAGGATCTATGAAGTAAATGAAAACCGCTATGCTCTGGAAGCATGGAAATAAAAGTCAGCGTAACATATAATCATTCTGTGTTGATTGTTGGTTACATGAAGCTTTGATAGTTCAACAATGCAGTCCTTGGCGGTTCATGCATTTCAGTTTTAAAGTTTGAACTATCAAGATTGCCTCTTCATCATTCGCTGAAGGCGCTCTCAGATGCTCGATATTCTGCACTACTATGCATCTTTGGGTGAGATTTCACTTGTGTTACCCTTTTGTATGTCTACAACTCGAGCCCACGTTGTTCCACGGCATTTACTTTATATAATGCTTGCCGAGAACCACGTGTATAAATATCGACACAATTCTTGCAGAGCGAGACTTGAACACACTTCTTAAACCAACTTTCTCTTTCTCACAACATGATAAATATCCATGGCTCTCCTAGCAACATGCTGAACACCCATGATAAATATGCTTTGGGTAGAAACCAGAAAGAATCTGAACGGTAAGAAAGAAAACTTAACCCTTGTAGCGAGAGCTAGATATCTAATGAAGGTGCGATGCAATATCTAGGCTAAATGCACAACACGATCTGCTGTTCAAAGTGACCCAAAACACCCTGATCCATCCATCGATTCCTAAAGATGGCATACTATCAGTTGCAGATATAGCAACTGGAACCGGGTAAGTCTGTCATTGATTTCTCGCGCAGCCCCATGGCTAATGAACGAAAAAGCATCTGGCTGAAGGATGTTTCGCAAATGTTGGAAGCATCTCAAGCCCAGCGTTACTATCATGGATTTGACATCTCACCGGAACAATTTCCCAAGGAGCCAGGGGGCATCGCATTTTCTGTTCACGATATAACGAAGCCATTTCCTAAAGAACATTGGAACCGGTATGACTTAGTCCATGTGCGACTATTAGTTGTTGCTCTCGAAGAATCCGAATACAGAGCTGCAGTATCTAACGTCCATGCCATCTTGAGTATGTCTCCCAATCTGAGATCTATTTTCCCTCTTCCATTCATTCCGTTTTTCTTACCCATTCAGAGCCCGGCGGCTTTCTTCAGTGGGAAGAGATCGATGAAGAAACATATATATCGGATTCCAACCCCGTTATTTGGGAGATTCGAAGATGCTTTAGTTCTTCCCTCAAGGCCGAAGGAAAATGTTTCCAAGCATCAGCAAAGGTATACGACGAGTGCATAGCGGCCGGTCTCTTGGATGTTGTACGGTTGGCTTATATCTCAGACTGGGATAGTAATATCCGTCGTGACACAGAGGAAAGGCTTGCTGCGATTATCGAAACGCTATATGCAAATCTTCTCGTGCGATCCGGGCAGGTTGATGAGGAGAAGGTGGCATCAAAGCAGGCTGGGGAGTTGATCGAGCAACATCGGCGCCTTTGTGAAAATGGAAATTCCCCGCCGCTGAAGCTGATGAGAGTTGTTGGCCAAAAGCGACTACATGATCGGTGCCTATAGGGACCGTCGCATCTTTCATAGCCAACCCGGCCGTACCTGAGGACCTGGAAATATAACTATAACTATACAATTTGTGTCTTCATCATAGCAGGAAGGAGAGTAAATACTTGACTCAAGAGCCATCAAATCCCAGAAACGTATGTGTCACTCGCCAACGATCGCCATCAGAAACGTCAACCAGAGAACTTTAGCAACACCGTGGATTCAGTCTCCAAGATGTGTCATGAACGAGGAAGAACTGGAAGAAGGAAAGAAATGGATTTATAACAAGGCAGGCACTGACACAAGATTATACGACATAATTGTACATTCCACTTCCGCTTTCCAAGAGTTCTTTCTGTTCCCGACGAGCGTTTTATCATTCCATGCTCGCTAGTCAACGTAGACTCAAAGCTTAGATGATACATGGAATTTCTTAGAACTTATTCTTAAGAACCGCAAGAGGAGATGCCACCCAGATATAATTATTTTTGGTACAGGATAGATCGAAATCAATTTCACCACTTTCCCCTCATACGATCTCTCTCGGACCCTATTCTGACACATGCCAATCCGCTTCTAGCTTACTGTAAATTTTTTGAGCATCGAATTGTATTGAAAGAATAATCACGTGCTAAATGGTCTATAAACTATTTGTAATACTCCCCCCAAAATACTGGCATACCATAGCACTTACCTCGCTAATTTGACGGCTCTCCTCTATATTTGCCCCCAATCTCCTGATAATATGTTCATTTAAGTGGGGAGTCAATCTTGTTCGCAAATTGCGCTATAAACTGCTTTATAACGTGAATATCATCCCGAGAAATCGGCACAAAGTCGAAATTACCATGAAAACATATACTATGCAAGGATATAGATTACAGGAAAGATCGAAATCAATTCCACCACTTTACTCTCTTTGGTCCTTTCCCGAACTCTATTCATAAACAAGTCGATCTAAGTTGGACTTTGTTCAATTCGAAGTATAAACTTGTGAAGATCTGAAGGCACAAGCCGGATTACGTGATCCTGTTTGTCGTTCTTTGTTGCTCTTCTGTATTTAGTCTGTCTGTTTCCTTTTCCCTTCTGTTTCTTCTTCTTCTTCTCCCTTTCTCTAGTTTGAAGATTTTCGTAGAATGTCACTTCTTCCTTTTTGTTGAAACTGGACCCTCACAAAACTCGTATTGTAAGAGTATATCGCATGATTGCGGATGGATGAATTACACGAAATACGCTACAAAGGAGAACTTCTGATCAGAAGATACAGTATCCGGAGCTTGTATTGTCTATGCATGTCTATCGAAGCTGCCGATAGACCATTCCATCAAGATTTCAGAGCTACCCAAAATCAACGGATGATTTGACCCTAAGACTCTCTTCCGCTTGGCTAAGCAATCTTGGAGTAATTCGATAGCCTTGGGAGTTTGACTGAATCTTTCAAGGTGAAAGCCAGGTTACCCATACTCGTCAGCGTGTCAGGATGGTTCTCGCCAAGTTTCCTCTTGTAAGACTCCTTCACTTGCACCTGGAGCTCCTCGGCCTCCTCTAACCGGCCCTGGTTCCATAAGGTCAACGCCAGGTTACCCATACTCGTCAGCGTGTCAGGATGGTTCTCGCCAAGTTTCCTCTTGTAAGACTCCTTCACTTGTACCTAGAGCTCCTTGGCCTCTCCCCAACGACCCTGATTGCATATCGTTGATGCCAGGTTATTTATACTTGTTAACGTGTCGCGGTGGTCCTCGCCAAGTTTCCTCTTGCAAGTCTCTACCACCTGCACCTGAAGCCCCTCCGCCTCCTCCAACCAGCCTTGATGCCTTAACGTCGTCGCTAGGTTTTTCATACTCACTAGCGTGCTAGGATGGTTCTTGCCAAGCTTAGTCTTACGTGTCTCCATCACTTGCACCTGGAGCCCCTCGGCCTCTTTCCACCGACCCTGGTTGTATAACCTCGACGCCAAGTTGTTTACACTTGTCAGCGTGTCGGGGTGGTTCTCGCCAAGTTTCCTCTTGTAAGGCTCCATCACTTGTAGCTGGAGCTCCTCGGCCTCCTCTAACCGGCCCTGGTTGCATAATGTCAACGCTAGGTTAGTCATACTCGTCAGCGTGTTAGGATGGTCGTCGCCATTGGAGCCCATCGTTTTTGCCACGGAACGATATCGATGCCATAGTCGAATAAATGTGCCTCGTTTGTAGTTCATGAGAAGGCTTGCTGTCTGCTTCTCAGCGGAAGGCGGGGCACCTCTTCAGGTTCACCATCAGGTGATCTTCTCGGCGCTAAGACATGGAAATAGATTGGCATATTGTGCCGCACAGATCAGTAAAAATCCTCTTAGTTAACCAATAGGCGGCACTTTTCCCCCGAAGAGGCTGAGTCGCGGACAACTTTGGGCCTAAATGCAGGATTTCAGATCTAAGAACACGAACATCAATTCCTGCAACTACTAAACAACGCCCAGCTCTTCCCTAGTGCCTTGACTCGCCTATCATATCTAGTATATATTAGAGCCAGCCAGAAGCCAAGGGAAATGGCGTGTTTAGTTAAGTCTCGTCCTTTTCATCATGAGCTCGTGAGCCAAGCTCGTCAGCGCTTGATCCGCTCTGTTAGTGCTCGGTCCTCCCTGTCGAGCCATTAATCCCAACGAAATCCTCTCTGTAGTTTTATAAAAATTTTGACATGGCAGAGAACTGATGAAATAAATTCAAACATCTCTTCATCTTTCATTTGGTTTTCTACGTATAGCCAAAATGACTCCAATCCCCGACTCCCTTCACTCCTCTCCCAGCTACTGCTCCCCGAATCCGCTATGCGAGTACTCCTCGACTACACACGTGGGCTGGCAGTCCTCTGGCTCATGGCGTGACTCTTTCGATATTCTATACAGCTGCCTCGCAACTCTCATCGCTTGCGCATGGTCTATCCTATCCCTCAACATCCCCGCAAAGAGCGACAAGCGATGGCGTAAGGTCCTGCGTAAGGTTAAATGGATGTGTATCACGCTTGCATTTCCTGAGTTCCTTGCAGCTATTGCACTTATTGAGCACTGGCGTGCGCGCCAGACGCGCGATCATATTAGGCAGACGTTGAAACCTAACGCGGAACTATGGACAACGACGCATGGTTTCTTCGCTAATATGGGCGGGTACGTTCTCGTCTCCGATGATCGGGATCCCTTGCCCTTGATAGGGGAGACGCTTCAGGTTCTGATTGACAATGACATCGTCGAGGTTCCGGACACGGAGCTAGATGCTATTAAAGATCGGAGCAAGACAGATACATTCGCGCGCGTGTTCGCGTTGCTACAATTAATCTGGACGGTTATCAAAAGTATCGCCAGATACGAAGAGGATCTGCCCCTTGCGCCGTTAGAGGTGATCACAGTATGGTATATTCTCCCCAGCGTGTTATCATTCCTTCTTGAATGGCCGAAACCTAAAGATGTCGACATTCCGATCGAGATCCAATACCGTGGCAAGATAGAGCAGGGGGTCGTCAACAAACTCTCGGGCAATTACCTTGCGCTCTGCAATAAGAACCTCAAAGATATGGGCACTGGCTCCATCGGGAGGATCCCTTTTGCTAGACCCGCCATCTACTACTTACGCCACGACATCGATAGGCCGAAGTGGGTCATCGCTTCCATGTATGTCCTGGGCTTTGCAACGGGAGCCTATCATGTTGGTCATGTTCTCATTCCCCCGGACCTATTCGACGCACATATGCTGCCTATTTGGCGCTACTCTATATTTATTGCGACTATTTTAGCAATGTTCCTGACGTGGGTGGGATTTACTCGCAAAGTCTTTCATGTGCCCGCGATCATTTTGTACGTCCTGGTTCCTGTGTGCACGATCATTTATGCAGTAGTGAGGCTTATTCCCCTTGGGCTGGGCCTTGCGACACTTGTGTTATCTTTACCGGTGAATGTTTATTATGATATAGACTGGACCAATTTCATTCCACATTTCTAGGTGGTGGTTGGTCCAGTGGCGGTATGCCGAACGGTGATGTATTTGGCCATTTTGGTCTATTTGGATATAGTTCAAATTTATGTGAATGCGAACGAGTTCGTATGGCGAGGATAACTGCTTACCTTTTCCTGGCTGGAATTGAGCAAGGACGGATACTTGGGGTCTTCTCCTGCTCAATGCCACTGTACAGTAAATTTGTGAGGAATTTCAGGAGAGCATACATAATATAGTTGAGAGTGATCGCTTCCTAAGAGTACAGCTGAGTCCCGTTAGAACCACCTTATCTGGTTCTTAGGAACAAGCTATTTGGATTTTGGAAGGCAGCGATTGTTCAGGTAAATACGCGACAATATCCTCAGAGCAAAGACGCAGGAAATGGTGTCAAGATATCCATGTTCAGCAACCGAACTAACATCACCTAGCTTTGTGGTGCAGAAAATCTGTATAATTTGTTCTAGGAAACCATGGTCTATTTTTAAACCCATTATGGATCAACGATAAATCCGAAAATTATGACTCTCATACTGTATCGTCGCATTCATACTTCGGGTTGTCGTGTCGATCGACCGAAATTTCGGCTTTCCTGCCGACCCACATCATTTCGTGGCACTGTGTGATTTGGGATCCATATTCCGTGATCCGTTACGCCTTGTAAGCCTTGTACGTACCAGGCTGATGAGTTGAAACGAGTTCTCAGAGAAGCGATTCGCATTCTGTTCACATCTTTATATCTTGAATATACGTTTCCCCCGTCAAACAAAAAAGGCTAGTTCTGCTTGCATATAGACGATCAACCGTAGCGCCTCTTATCCAAGTAACAATCACAAGATTATCTTTAAACTTCCTGTCATGGGTACCCCGCACCGTCAAGGCTGATAAGACGTCGGTCTACTTATACCGCGCAAGTTCCACGATCGATTGCGTGCTCAGTCGCTTTCTATATTTAAGCCAAGCGCTGAATCCGAGTATTCCATTCCAACTGTCTTAATTGCTATCATACTACTCTATACCCTTTCATTGTCTTTGTTTTGTGCCTATTATTAACATGGCACCTGGAATCCAAGACTCTTCCCTCCCCCTTGCGCCCTCCGCCCAACTCGGACCGGGTCCAATATCCTGCGCCGTTGAAACTTAGCGGTGCCTTGGATAAGTTCTCGTTCGAAGACACAACGCCTGTTATTGGTCGCGAGTTTCTCAACATCAACATTGTGGATGACCTATTGAACGCCCCAAATGCTGATGATCTGGTCCGGGACCTTGCTATTACAAGTATGTAGAGGCTGCCAACCTTCTAGTTAGTAATTCGGATTCTGACCATGCATTTTCAAGTCTCCCAACGGGGTGTCGTCTTCTTCCGTGCCCAAGATAACCTCAATGATGACCTGCAGAAGAAGCTGGTGCACAAGCTAGGGCAGCTATCTGGCAAGCCAGCTGATTCAACTCTGCACATCCACCCTGTGCTCAATAACACCAACGAGTTCGGTGTCAACGATGCGCAGGTCAGCTCCATCAGCTCGGTCGCCCGCAAGAAGATGTTCCGTCATGAAAACCAGCGCAACAAACGTCGCTACGATTCGGCCCAGTGGCACTCGGATATTCAATTCGAGCCCTTCCCGGCGGACTACACTTCGCTCCGGCTAACCCAGCTGCCAAAGACTGGTGGTGACACCCTCTGGGCGTCGGGCTATGAGCTCTATGACCGGTTCTCAAAGACATACCAGAATTTCTTCGACACTCTGACTGCAACCTTTATTGGCTCGGGCTTCCTCGAGGCTGCTAAGGCAGATCCAGAAAATGTCTATATTCATGCTGATGCACGAGGTAACCCGCAGAATGTTGGCAAGGAGCTGTCCACGGTTCATCCTATCATACGAACCAACCCTGTGACGGGTTGGAAGAGTCTGTACGCTATTGGGCCATTCCCCAAAGAGATTAATGAACTCAGCCCGAACGAGTCGGATGAGCTGCTGAAGAAGTTCTACAATACTATCCTCGAAAACCACGACCTCCAGGTGAGGTTCAAGTGGAGGAACCCGAACGATATTGGTAAGTCGCAGTAGCTTGCCTCGTGATTCATTTCTAACCAACTTTTCTAGCCATTTGGGACAACCGCTGTGCTTTCCACTCTGCCACATTTGACTACGAAGGACTTGGAGAGCGATATGGCCACCGGGCAGTTGGCATTGGTGAGAAACCGTACTTGGACCCAAACAGCGTGTCGAGGGCGGAGGCATTGGCTGCTGGAGATGCTTGAGTGAACTCAATTCGAGCAGGATAAGCTAAAGTAAAAGATTCAGCGCAGAAATTCATAGTAATTTTAATTATGATTGCTTTTACCATCAACTAGCATTATTGTTGGGGCATATGCGTGGACTATAGTCTGCCGAGCATATAGCCGACTCCCCACTGCCGAGAGAGCCGGAGTAAGATATTGCGGGGTGCATCAAGAGAATACTCTGGCAAACAATTCCAATCGCCTCTTCAAATCCCGATAAATAAAAATGGGTGAGACACGGACCGAACATCTTGCGCGATACGCCGCCAGCCTACAATACGGCGATATTACGGCGCCCGTGGTCCAGCGCACCAAGGAACTGTTTCTTGACTGGCTGGGCTGTGCCATCGCAGGACGCCACCACCCTGCCGTCGCAGCAATTGTGCGATATGCAACGCAAATGGGCCCTTCGTCGGGAAAGAGCGAGTTGGTTGATGGGTCTCTTGGATTTAACACCAGCCCTGCCTTTGCCAGTTTGATCAACGCGGCCGCTTCGCATGTCGTTGAGCAGGATGATCTTCACAATCGGAGTATCATGCATCCGGTTCGTCCACTCTCAGCTGATTCTATGCGCGTATCTGACTTGAATATAGGCAACTGTCATTTTCCCTGCTGCTCTTGCTGTGGCGCAGGATATCGGTGCCAATGGCCAAGATTTCATCACAGCCTGTGTAGTGGGTTATGAAGTTGGATGCCGTGTAGGAGAGTTCTTGGGGAAGAGCCATTACGAGGTAAATGGTACCCTTGTATGACAACAGAAAAGAAATTGTCTGACAAGAAGCTAGAACTTCCACATGACTGGCACCGCGGGCACTGTTGGCGTTGCAGCCGCAGTAGGCCGGCTGCTGCAACTCGACAACGAAAAGATGTTGTCCGCAATTGGCTCAGCAGGGACCCAAGCTGCAGGTCTTTGGCAGTTTTTGATGGATGCAGCCCACTCCAAACAAGTACACACCGGTAAAGCATGCTCCGATGGTATCTTCGCAGCATACACCGCGCGCGACGGTCTTCTGGGACCCCGAGATATCCTCGAGGGCCCGCGAGCCATGGGCGCCGCACTCGTCCCGGGGAAGACAAGTCCAGAAGCAATTGACCAGAATCTGGGGAAGGATTTTGCTGTCTCGCGCTCCAGTTTCAAGTGGCACGCCTCATGCCGCCATACACATCCCAGTGTTGACGCACTGTTGAAACTGATGGAGAAAAACAATGTCACATTTGATGATATTGAGTCCGTCATTTCTCGCACATACCAGGCTGCGATCAACGTCCTGGGTATGGGTGGTCCCGGGGAGACTGTGCACCAGAGCAAATTCTCCATGGGGTTCGTGCTGGCCGTTGCGGCGAAGAAGGGCCATGCGTTGATCACGGACTTTACTGAGGCAGACTTGCACGATGCTTCTTTGCGCGAGTTCCAGAAACGCGTTACGATGGAATTGGATGCGGATATTGATGCTGCGTTCCCGTTAAAATGGCGGGGGATGGTTATCGTCACCACGAAGTCGGGCCAGACGTTCACAGAGTCTGTTGAGTTTGCTAAGGGAGATCCGGAATTCTCTCTTACAAGGTAACTAGCACTGTCCTCCAAGAGATCTGATTTGATGAACTGACCCTTCTTCTCTAGGACTGAACTCGAGACAAAGGCTAGATCCCTAGCCACCTATGGCGGATATACTGATATCAGCAGAGTCGACCAGTTAATTGGACGAGCCTGGAACTTAGAGAACGAACAGATCTTGACGGGCTTCGTATTTTAGCGTATATAGCAATTCATCCATAGTGAAGTATAGAAGGTCCGGCTCAACCGTATCGTCTGCCGTGGGCTCGTGCGTCATTGCCGCCATAATCAGATCGACGTCGACTTCACAACAACATCAATAAATCCATGAAGCTTCCCTGGCCTTCAGCCCCACGCACTTCTGCTGTGCCACTTAACTTCCTATCTTGTCCTTGCAGACAAGCCCGAGCAATCATGACGGGATCCAAACCGGGCCCTCGGAATAACAAAGGGAACAACAGCAGAGGCGCCCCGCAGCGGCCGCCTTTAACTCATTTCCTATGCTTGCCCCTAGTAAACACAACATCGCTGCCCCAGCTAGAGACCTCCTTAGCCGCATTCAAAGCGGCTCATCCACCAGTCCCGGTCTCGGCTCTTCCCGGGGCTCAAGGTGGTGGCACAGACGGCAATGGCTCAATATCGGTCATTCCTGACGGAGCATTGCGCCCGATCGGCACGCTGCATCTGACTCTCGGCGTGATGAGTCTGCCAAGTAAGGAGCGGTTTGATGAGGCTGTGGCCTTTTTTCAGAAGCTTGATTTGGCTAGCCTGATGCGCGGAGCGGAGCGTGCTGCCCGGGGTCAGAAGAAGAAAAGCCATGAAGAACAATTATTGGCCTCGACTACAGCAGACACAGAAATGGATTCTCCGAATTCAGAGCCAGAGGCCTCTTCTCCTCTTTCTCCACTCAATGTCTCGTTGGAGTCACTGCATGCGCTTCCGCGCGCAAAAGCCGCTACTGTCCTGCACGCTTCGCCCGTGGATCCGACAAGACGCCTATATCCGTTCTGTGTGATGTTGCGTGATAAGTTCATTGAGGCTGGGTTTTTGGTCGCTGAGCAGGCCAACCCTCAGCAGAACCAGAACCAGCAGCAACAACAACAGCCACTACAAGGAGAGCAACCCGAATCCTCTTCCACTGTCCCCGACAACGAATCCCTCCTGGAAGAGCTTCCCATCGACCTAGCAGAAAATCCAACCACAGAGCAAAACTCACTAGGAGCCCACAAAAACCACCACCCCATTCCATCGCTGGACCCCTACACCACAGCTCTAAGACGCAAGCCGAAACCGCGTCCTCTCCTTCTGCACGCCACGCTCGTGAACACGATCTACGTGCGCGGCGGCCACGGGAAAGGTGTCGGGCGTGAACCAGACGCAAAACGACAAAAGTTCAAGCAACATGGAGGTGGAGGAGATCGAGACAAATCTTGGAATAAAAATAATAAGAGGCTTGCTATCGATGCCCGCGACTTGATTGCTCGGTATTCGGACTACTATGCCGATGTGGAGCGGACGATGGCACGTGTGTATCATCCTGGTACTTCTTCGCCTACGAGTATAGCTGCGTCTACATCTCTGTCTCCTCGATCTGATGAGTTTGGGGAAAGAAGAAAGGTGGAAGGGGTATCGGAGAGCGCCGCAGAGCCTGCTGCTGGGCGCACTACTCCTACTACTGCAATTACAACTACAAGTACAACCTCATCACCAAAATACCCCTTCATCTGGGCACACAATATCCCGCTAGACTCGGTCTGCATCTGCGAAATGGGCGCTAAAACCCTGGTCCCGGCGGAGAACGTGCCAGACAAAGCAGACAATACGACATCCTGCAATGCGCGTCTGGGTGCCAAGTACACCGTTGTCGCGGAGCGGAGTCTGGATTTCTCGCGTGGATCTATGTCAGCGTCGCTGGCTTCAACAGCGGAGAAGACGGGGAGTGAGACTGATGATAGCGCAGAAGGGGGTGCACGGTTGCACTGAGGCTTCGTGTCCTGGGCTATGTATGAACTACAGCAACCAACCGTATTATAGGAGAGGATTTATAGATTAACTTCATTCGTGGCACGACAACGTACAACATCGCCATCCCAAGCCTGCTTGAGACGGATGTGAGCTGACCTATTATAACCTTTCTTAGTCGGCAACTCTTGTAGATGGCCACTGGCCTTGGGTCGAGTCTGGCACTTGCCAACCCCGTTGGAGAGGGAACAGTTGATCATGGGCTATGCATCTTCTGATATATCCGCCTCGTTCCTGGTAGATGACCCGAGGAATACTCAAAATCCGGTGCAGAGTAGTTGGGCCGGGTAAGCGTGGAAGTGTTTCAAACCGAGTGTGCCGACGACAATCCATGCCTCGTTCCCCCCATTTCAATTCGAAGCAGAGATTCCCATTCATGACAAATAGCATCATCACCTCACGCGGCTCATAATAGTCTCCACCCCCGCTCGACCGACAACTCCGCCGCCTTGGCCTTAACAGAGCTTACCATACTGCGCTCAAAGTCATCGCGAGTCCGCAGCACAGCCTCCACCCACGAAAGCTGCAGATCCCAGTACTCGACCTTGAAAGACTCGTAGACCGCGACGATGGGCGGGCCCTTCTCAGCCTCAAGCAGGCGCACCAACCAGTCGACAAGACGCCAATTCTGCTTGATGGTCGCGGCGAAGGAGTCGGGGTATTTCTGGAAAAAGGCAAACACCGTGAGCACGTCGTCCTTGAATTTATCCGTGTAAGGATCGGATTGGCGGCGGAATTTCACGCCGCGGTTGCGCACGGCGGATAGATATCGGACTAGCAGCTCGTCGGATAGCTCCTCCACCAAGATATCCACCAGGGATGGATGCAGCACGGGCGTGTAGTCGGCCATGTAGTCCTCAAACGTAGAGGTGATGCGTTTCATTGCGTACTCGCCGTACCACTTCGGTGTGAAGAAATCCGGGATCACGGTCACCAGGTCCACGGAGAACACAACAGCCACGAACTGCGCCAGGCAGTGTGTGCTGAGGTCCACGTACCCGTCGCGTAGCGCGTCCAGCTCTGATAGCGCCCGCGTTGCCATGTACTTGGGTGTCACGAGCGGCTCGAGGTCGCGCTTGAACCGGGTCAGATAACCCATCTGGCCGGACTCTTCGTTGTCGTCAATGCAGGCGATTTGGTCGTTGGCCACGCCGACCATCCAGTCCTGTAGCAGCTGGATGCCCTCAGGCTGATCACCACCAGAGGCCTTGTGCTTGGCGCACTCCTCGTCGATAAGCGTCTGCCATGCACTCTGTCTGGTCTTCAGGGCACGGAACATGGCATCGATAACACCTTCGACAACGTCGGCTCGGTCGGAGGCCCCAGACGCCACAACCTGTTCGTGGAGCATGCGCCACATATCTGGCAGTGTCTTGGTGCGGAAATATCCTTCGGCGTTGGTATCCAGGGCATCTGGGACCCGCTCCACCAGGCTCTTCTTGTCAGTTTCAAAGATGCGTTCCATCCATTCCTCCACGGCATTGATGATAACACTCTGCCACTGGCGCACCAACTCGGGCTCGCGGTCGTCCAGCAGGTTCGGCTGGAGATCGGCCGCGATCCACCCGAGTTTCTTCATCTTCTTGTAGTACTTGTCGCTCCAGTGGATGATAGCCAGCAGGTTGTCGGCGGGGATTTCGGGGTCGTCAATCATGCTGACTAGGAAATCGTGCATCATGCGATGATAAATGTCCGTATAGGTCCTGTAGATCTTCCATTTCTTGGGAACCAGGTTTTGCATGCCTTGTTGGACGGTATAAAGATCATTGAAGAACCACCGGAAGCTCTTCTCCAGGCTGTCGGGGTTATCGTAGAACTGGTCCTTGGTCTGCTCAAACTGATTTTGCGCGTACAACTCAATGGCCTGAATGAACTTCTCCTTGTAGCCTCGAACCGTCTTCGGGCCGATATTCATCGACTTGAAGCGACTGGCCAAGTCCTTGTGGTCTTTCTGGGCCTCCTGCAAGGCCCGCACAGTGTCATCGTTCTTCTCCTCGTTCATAACCACCACAGCGAGCCGCACCACCATGCTCTTATTGTCAGACTGCACCAACGGAATGAGATTCATACACGCCGTGCCGATATGATCATCGAAAAAGTCAATCACCGAGTCCAGCCCCTGAAAGTATTCCGTCAGGGTAACTTCGCTACTGGCATCCTGGGCTTTGCGAATCTGATCCATGGCTTCATCCCGGAAATCCCGCAACCGCGAGATCTGCATATGAGCCCGCAGCAGATTCGGCTGATTCTCCAGATCCTCATCATCCTCTTTCAGCAAATTCTCCACCTCCTCGATATCTGCGCCGAAATTCTCCAATCCCTTCTTCATCATGAGCGTCGCTTCAAAGTGCCGCTGGATCCGAGCTAGCTGGTCGATCTGCGAGAAGTCCTCAACGCTAGTCTGCGACTCGGCGCACAGCTTATCGATGCTCTGGAGCTCATCTCTGGTTTTTGAGACGGACCGCTGGCCCTCGGTGAGTTGTCCAATGCTGCGCTGTACGGCCTCGAGCTGGTCGCGAAGTCCTTCTCGGAGCCGGGAGTCAACAGCGGCTTTCTTGCGCCCGTATTCGGCCTTCAGGTTGTTAATTTTATCCAGGTCCTCTGGGTGTCGAAGGATGTCTTCCAACCGCGGCATGGTCACCGTGCCATCTGTATTGCTGGGTTGCGCCATGGTTGGCTTCATCCAGGTGTTATCGAGGGGTCAAACAATGGCGTAGGCATCCAAGTGCCGAGTCATGTCATGCACGGCGCAGTGCTTCAACCAGGGCCTTTGTATAAGAAGAGTCAAGAATCACAGCAATCACAGCACATAATCAAAGACAAGTCCGGAGCTCAAGCTGTTGATCTGTTGTCGGTCTCGATGTGTCGCGCTGGCTAGATTCCGCGGCAGAACGGCACGTGATTATACACCGCCCTCGTTGATTTTGAGATTCGGATTCACATCGCATCAACTTTCCAATATCTACACCTCCTCAATCCACCTCTCTCATCTGCTCATCCCTCCTCAATCAATCACTACCGGCAAATCCAACTGCGTCCAATCCACAACCAGTAACCACCGCAACCCGAACCCAAACACAAAATGAGCTACTTCCGAATAACCCTTCAACGCTCCGCAATCGGCCTCCCACGGCGCTCAACAGATGTTCTGAAAGCGCTCGGCCTGAAGAAGCGCTCGTGTACCGTCTTCCACAGAGTCTCGCCGTCAGTCGCAGGCCAGATCATGAGAGTCAAGGAGCTGGTGTCGGTTGAAGAAGTGCAACAACGCCTGACGAAACAAGAGGTGCATCTTGAGCGCAAGCCTGATCCGGGGTATTATGTTGAGACGAAGTATCAAGACATGGAGAAGGTTAAGGAGGTATAAATGGGATTATTGGGTTGATGGGTGGATGTGAGTGAGGTGGAAATGAGAGATAAATGAGGAAAGAAGGAGGCATTTGTATGTTATGGATGGAGAGACGATTGATTATATACCCCAGAGAGTGTGTGTGGGCTTGTTGGAAGCTCTAGAGGGTGATTTTGTTCGACTGTTTGCATGAAGCGCGTTTTGCTCTTTTTTTACGTTTCGGTGTTCATGTATTCTACCTCCAGTCATGTCTGCGACGCGTGGCTTTGCTTTTCTTTTTCACATACTGTACTATTAAGAGACAATGAGCCAAAAATATGTGCAATCTGAGTGATGCTATGAATAAGCATAAATACACGAAACGAATCCCTGTGGGGAGGGAAAAGCCAAATGTATAAACACACCCTAAAAGAAATGCGATCATCCCACTGTTGTCCCTGGGATCAGGTAGTCAGGAGGCAAAACCAACAGTCTTCGATGATTTTACAGAATGAGAATGAGGGACAACACTAAGCCTTGTACAGCGTGTCGAGGAAGCCTTCAGCCAAACGACTGACGATGCTCTTGTCCGGGATACTGCCAGCAACGCCATACAGCGCGGAAGTGTCGCCGCGCTCCAAAATGTAGGCCTTGCCTTGTCTCTTGCGCTCCTCAGCCTTCTCCAGCTCCTTTTCCACAACCGCGATCACGTCGAGAATCAGCTGGTCGACTGCCGAGGCGGTGGGAATGGTGAAGGCGCAGTGCATGGCGGGCGGGGACTGGAGGGCGTTGAGGTGCCAGCCCTTGGCGGACAGGTCATCGGCGATGTCGTAGATGTCAATGGCGCCGTTCTTGCTGGCGAATGCCACGACGCTGACGGCTGGATCACCGATGATCTCGAGATGGGGAGCGATCTGCGGGTGCTCCCGGATCGCAGACTCGAACTTGCGCGCGGCATTGATGATCTCCGTGCAGCTGTTGATGTAGCCGGCCTCGCCGACGCTCATCAGACTGGCCCAGCAGCCCGCGATCAGGGCGCCGGGGCGTGAACCTGCAACGGATGGAGACGCGTAAACGCCGCCGGACCAGTCGGGGTAGATGAAGTACTGGTAGCTGCGGTATACCTTGTTGCGGTAGAGCAAGACGGAGTTCCCCTTGGGCGCGAAGCCATACTTGTGAGTATCAACACTGATGCTGGTGACACCGGGCTGGCGGAAGTCAAAGCCACCGTCTTCCTCGTACGGCGACGGGAAACCGGCCTTCTTGAGATGGGCAATGACGAACGATCCGAGACAGCAGTCCACATGAAGAGGGATCTTGTACTTGGTCGCGAGCCGGGAAAGAGCGGGGATGTCATCCACGATACCGTGGGGGAAGTTAGGCGCCGAACCAACCAGAAGCACAGTGTTGGGGTTGATCAGCCGGCGCACAGCCTTGACGTCGACCTTATAGTCGGGTGCTGGGCAAGGCACTCGGTGGAGCTTCATCTTAAAATAATTGCAGGCCTTGATGAACGCCGCGTGTGCTGTATCAGGGATGATCCTGAAGAGTCTGTCAGTACTCGCAAATGCATAACCACCACTAAAAAACTCACATCTCTGGTTCTGTCACTCCTCGCTCCATGAAGCCCTTCTGCCGCGCCGCCAGACAAGCCATAATGATAGATTCTGTACCACCACCGGTAGTCACACCAGCGCCATCCGCGGGAGCGTTGAACAATGACAGAACCTATAGATAGACAGGTCAGACTAAGACAAGAAAAAAAGTGCGAGCGGTAAATATTGCATACCATGGCAACAACCTCCGCCTCCATCTTCCTCACGCCAGGGAAAACATCCGGATGGATCGGATTCGCAACACCGAATTTCCCAAAGGCCTCCGCCTGCAGTTTCAAGAGATCCTGACCACCATGGTACACCGCGCCACTGACACGGCCATCCTCCCAGCGAGTATGTTCCAAGCCAGCGAGGTTGTCGAGCTCGGCGCGAACCTGCTCCGGTGACCAGCCCTCCTTCGGCAGCGTGATGTAGCGGTTCACGCCCGGTCCGCTAGCAACGAGCTTCGCCTGGAGCTTATCAATCGCCGTGGTCACCTGCTTATCGACCTGGCCTCGCACGCCGGGGGAGCGCAGGAAGAGGGAGTAGCAGAACAGGCGGATGGAGATGAAGACGTTGCGGAGACTGCCGACCACGCCATAGCCGCGCAGCGAATAGAAGGTCTTGCGTGTATACCTAAGGATGAAGAGGACAAACACAATATTGCGGATGCTGGACGTGGTAAAGTCTGTTAGCGGTGATCGCCGGCACGGCCCCCCGCGTCTGGAGCTCATCGCCACTTACAGATCGATGTTCAGGGCCGACAGGTGCGTGGTGGACGCTCTGCCAAACCCCTGCAGTTTGTTCTGCAGGGCGACCGGAAGCGGAGAACTCATAATTATCCTTTAAAGATAGGCAGAGAGCAGAGGGGGAACGGATGAAGTGAGTTGGGAGGAGGAGCCTAGTGAGGTGACTAGTTCCTGGTTGACGGGAGCGGCAAGAGCTTGGCGACCTCGGCTGCCACATGTTTGAACGAGGCAAGTGGAGGGCCGATCTATACATTCGAACTTCGGATCATTGAACCGTTGATGATATGATAATGCGAATAAATCGACCATCGCAAGGGTCTGCGCTTATATACACATGGTAGGGACTGCTCTCTCTAAACACCAGTTGTCTCTCTCGGTTTCCCAGGCAAAGAAAGACTTTTTTTGGCAATCCCAAACATAATCCCATCAGAAAAAAGAAAGTCAAATAAAAAATAACATCAAATCATTCACAATGTAGATTGCTTAAACAGCGACTCCGTTGGCCTGGGCCTCGAGTGCCAGCTCCCTCTCCTTGGCGGCAAACTGGGCCTGCTCATCCACCGTCAGTTCCATGAGGGGCTTGTCCTCGCCCGACTTGAGGTTCCGGTAGTAGGCGCGGATCACGCTGTCGGCGTCATCGACGGCAATAGGGCGGATGTCGGCCAGAGCCTTGATCTTAGCCGTGCACTCCTTGTACTGGTTGTCGGTCATCTCGAGCTTGAGCTGCTGCGCCCGCGACTTGATCGCATTCCAGCCAGTTAGACGCGATGCGAAGTGCACGTAGCGAGTCATGCCAAAGTCGGCCGGGTTAATGATCTCGTAGGTGCTGGGGTTGTTGAGGATGGCCTTGGCGTGGATACCGGCCTTGTGGGTGAAGGCGCAGAAGCCGGTGATGGGGTTGTTGAAGGGGATGTTGACCTCCACGGCCTCAGCGACCAGGTCCTCAATGTCCTTGATCTTCTCCAGGCGATACTTGCTCTTGACATACTCGGGGTCGGCGACGATCATACGGGCCATCAGACCGCCCAGAGGGGTGATACCATTGCGCTCACCGATACCCAGCACAGAGGTGTCGATGTGGGTGGCGCCAGCCTCCAGAGCACAGTAAGCGTTGGCGATGGCGCAGCCGGTGTCGTTGTGGAAGTGGGTCTCGATATCACAGCCCACAACACCCCGAAGCACACGGACAAGCTCGTAGACCTGGCGGGGCGAAGCGCAGCCAACGGTATCGGCAATACCGACACGGTTCACGCCAACCCGGTCGACGGCAGAGTAGATGGACAGAAGGTCCACGAGATCGGACCGGAAGGAGTCCTCGCTGGAGAAGCGGATCTCAATGCCCTTGGACTTGACGTACTCGATGACTTCAATGGCGGCGTTCTTGATGTAGGTCATATCCTTGCCGTGGGAGTGTTCACGGAGATAAGACGAGGTGCCGATAACGACATCGCTGCACAAGTAGTCAGAATCAACGGATCAAAAACTTTTGGAATGTCTGCCAGGACTCACACTCCATCCACACCAGTCTCGACCGCAACCCGGGCATCATCCATGTGGCATCGGATGTGAGTGAGAATCTAGATTTGCAATTAGAATTTTTGGTCTTTCTTTCGGGGAAGACACAACGCACCTTGGCCTTCAGGCCGAGCTTGCAGATGGCCTCGCAGTCCAGCCGGGACTGCTCGGAAGCGCAGGGGCTGGTGAGTTCAATCTATCGCAACCAACACCCATGTCAGTCCACTCGTCTTGCACCGATCGATGTCTATGATCACTCACGTAGTCGGCACCAAAGTCATCCAGAGCCTTGGCGATCTCAATCTTCTTCTGGGTATCAAAAAAGGCGTTGGCAAATTGCTCGCCCTCCCGCAGAGTGCTCTCAATAATCTGGAAGCGGGAGACATTGCTGAGGAAGTCGGTGACGCCGACGTTGTGGCCGTAAGGGTTACGGGAGGTGGGGTGGGGGTTCTGGCGAGTCTCAATGCCGGTGAAGCCGGGGTGTTCGCCTGGATGGGGAGTCAGTCGGGGGTGTTGACGGCCAGATCTGGCACTGCAGCATACCATTTCCATTGGAACTGCCGTTCACGCCGTTGGCTTGCGCACTAGGCTCGGGGTCGCAGCCGGGACACATTGTGGGTGGATGGCGGGGTGATGAGGGAGGGGCAGAATGGTGCTGGAACAAGGGAGGATGCCGGAATGGGACAGGACAGGACTCAAGAGGGACGGAAGATACACCAGAGAGCAGGTGGGAGTTTCTTTAAAGGAAAGAAAAGTGATGTGGAGGGGAAGAGGAAGAGTCACCGGGCGGTGTACTAGGCATCGGCGTTCGTTTCGGCGGCAAAAAATGTGAAATTTTTCCCTTCGCCGGGGGGTGGATCAACCACTGGATGACTCAGAATGTTGTGGTGCTCGCTCGACAGCGGCAAGGCCCGATTCTAGACGCCGTCTGCTATGTAATCGGCGCTCCTGTACGCCTGGATGGGCAACCGGGGGGAGGGATGCCGGCAGTGCGTGTGGCCTGTGATGCCCCGACATCGGACGTGGCCGATGATATCGGGCTGCAGAGTCCACAAGGAACAAAACAGATAGGAACTCGGGGTAGACGGGACATCATTCGAGTCGCCGAACCCCAACGGTTATATAGTTCAGACGGACCCCTGGACATACGCTTGAATTATACGTGCATTGGGGGAGTGCTGTCGTGGAGGGCAGCAGCGGTCTGGAGCACAGATATATCTCGAAGACCACCTCTTCATCGACGATAAAAGAAACCACCACAGGCCATCAATCCCATCAAAGATGATCCAAACATGATCAATGACCAGACCAGAATATTCCCCAGCTCAGGCGAGCACAAGCAGAAGTCATGGTCCAAACTGTCCCCGGATCGAATGACATTGGGTAAGCACCCGATCTGGTTGGCCCGGCGCTCAGGCCAGCTGTCGTAAACATTCGCTTTCTTCCTCCATCACTGCTCATCCATCCATCCTTGTGTCAATTCTTCTTGTGTCTAGTATCGCTCGTTTGCATTCAGATCACAGGTACGTTCCTCCCATTTCTGTTGCATCGTCCTCCTGTTGCGACTCTCCCCTGGCCACCACCCCCTATCTGCGACCGACCCCAGACTAACTCCACGGCAGCCCGCAAGATGCGCTTCACGTCCATCGTCGCCCTCCTTCCGGCCCTGGCCCTGGCCCAGGAGCAGGTCCCTCTGGCCGAGCGCGTGCAGGGATGGTTCAACAAGGCCAAGTCCTTCGTGCCGTCGGCTCCCCCGGCCGCCAACGCCCCGCTCGAGAAGCTGGCCGAGAAGGTCAGCGAGACTCACGTCACGACGATCGATATGAGCAACTGGCAGGATCTCCTCACCCCCGGGGTGAAGGAGCAGGATTGGCTCGTCTACGTGACGGGCGGAAATAAGAGCTGCTTCGGTCGCTGCGGACAGGCCGACAAGGCGTTCCAGGTGAGGAGTGCTGACAGGAAGCCGAGGAATTGCTCGATCACTAACCATGTTCATCTCATCAGGAATCCACCCTTCTGTTCGCTGCGGATCCCACCTCGCCGAACCTCGGTTTCGTGGACTGCGAGTCGTCCTCAATCCTGTGCTCCATCTGGTCCGCCGGCGCTCCCACCGTCTTCTACTACCACGTTCCCAAGGCTCCCCATGTCGGCGAGGAAAGGGCACCCACTCCTCTCCACATCTTCTACCTCAACACGACCACCGTCACCCCCAATGAGATCTACCAGATTCACGGAAAGCAGTTGTATAATGATATTGCCCCCTATGAAGGTGCCCTGCACCCCATCGATGGCTGGCTCGCCCGCACCCACCTGAACATTCCCCTGGGCTACCTCATCTGGGGTCTCGGTGCCATCCCGAGCTGGATGTTCATGATTGGTATCTCCTTCTTCAGCCGTACCATGATGTGAGTTTTTTCTCCTATCGTATTTTTTGGTTGCTGCCCGTTCTAATATCAACAACAGGAGCCGCCGCATGGGCAATGTTGGTGCCCCGCAGCAACGGCCTACCCCGGCTGGGAGCGCGAACTAGATTGTGTATGTTGAGCTGTACATATTAGGATGGGTTCTGTGTACGGGTTGGGTTGGTTGTTCGGTTGGATGTATGACTGTGTCAGCGAAAAGGGATCTACCACTGTCCTTGATAGTTCTAATTTAATCCACTTTTTCCTCATTGCGTCTCCCTATACTTGTACCGCCATCAAATTTAACTCTGATACCCGATTCCACGGCTATTCCAGTTCCAGTTTAGGTGCCGCGATCATCCCGCGGTGATACTTCCTGCACGCTGTCCAAGGCGGTGGACAAGACTCACTCCCCCAGACAAAGTTCTGCCTCTCATCCTTCCAACACCAACTTGGTACGTCCAGCAAACCTGTACAATATGGCAGCACCGGTCTCACTAGACCGTCTCCCTCCCACAACGACCGCCTACGTGATCGCCACGGCCATCATCGCCGGCGTGACGGGGTACTTCATCGGCCAAGGCGCGTCGCTGAACTTTCTCAAAGAAAAAGAAGGCTGGCCGAATAGCTACAACGTGCGAGTCCACCGGGACTCTTCTGATGAGGAATACGAGGAGGAGGACGCCAGTGACGAAGAGGACGAAGGCAATGGCGACGAACTGGCCCAATTCAAGGAGAATGCCGAGGAGGTCAAGCTCGTGCTGGTTGTCCGCATGGACCTGGGCATGACCAAGGGTATGTACTTTCTCTGTCTTCTTTCCAGGCTTATTATGCTCCAATTGTCAAATCGTGATTGCTCACTCTTTTATTTGCTTTTAGGTAAAATCGCCGCCCAGTGCTCCCACGCCACCCTCGCCTGTTACAAATACTTCCTCGCACACTCCCCAGACTCGCCGATTCTGCACCGCTGGGAGCAAGGCGGACAGGCTAAGATCGCGTTGCAGGTGAAGTCAGAGGAGGAACTGCTGGTCATGCAGGCGCAGGCTATGAGTCTGGGTCTTTGTGCGCGCGTTATCCAGGATGCTGGGCGGACGCAGATTGCGAGTGGCAGTCGGACGGTGTTGGGTGTTTTGGGACCGAAGAGTGTGGTCGACCAGGTGACCGGGCATTTGAAGTTGCTGTAGATGTGCATAGCCATAATGATCATGACCTCGATGAGAAGCAACTGAAGTTCTATAACGGGCACGCCCGACTACACTATGGAAATATGGATATATATGAATGTAGGCTAGTCATGGTTTTTCTCTAGCCTCACAAGCCAACGGCCAGTCGGCGAAGAGAAGAGGAATATGACGCCGTCCACGCCAGGATCTCAGGCCGAGCTCACCCCATGAAAGGGGGAGCTCAAGACCCGAGTTCACATCCTGACGCAAACATTTAATCTGAGATCTGTCGACCGGACAGTGTAAAAATGCCACACAGAGGGGGATTGATGGCTCCATTAGTCGTCGAACTGTCCAGCGCTGCGACCGATACACGGTGGCTCCGAGGAGCTCGTGGACGGGAACACTGGACACAGATCTGTGGGTGTGATGTTCGGTAGAAAAGAAGAAGAAGAAAAGAAAAAGAAAATTTTGGTTTTGGGGTTGGCTTAGCGTGGTGGCGCTAACTTGTTTGGGCGCGCACGTGATATCCTGTATCAGTTGGCCGCCGCTCTCTCTCTCTGAGATTCACTCGCTCACTCACCCTCCCACTCCCACCACCCCTTCGCTATGGCGGACGCTCTCTCCATCGAGCAGAATAACAAGATCCGCGCGGCGCTCGGGCTGAAGCCCCTCCCTGTTCCCGGCGCCGGGCCTGTGTTCAAAGAGGACGGCGATAGTTCATCCGGCGAAGAAGAAGAGCCCGCCAGCACAATCGAGACCCGACAAGCGCAAGGCTACGATAACTGGAAAAAGCTCCAAGATGACACCAACGCCAAGAAGCGACGCGAAGAGAAGAACGCCGCCATCAAGCGGGCCCGCGACATCGCCCAGCGAAACAAGAAACTCGAGGGCGCGACGCTGGGCGAGTCCGCCGGTGACGAGATCGATACCAAGACCTGGCTGACGCAATCGAAGAAAAGACAGAAGAAGATCGATAAGGAGCGGGCGCGCAAACTTGCCGAGGAAATGGAGGAGCGAGAGCGCGCTGCGGAGTACACGGCTGCGGATCTGGCGGGCATTAAGGTCGGGCACAATGTGGTGGACTTTGATGGCGAAGAGGACCACATTCTTACGCTTAAGGATGTGGCGGTGGATGACGAGGAGGAGGCCGATGAGCTACAGGATATCAATCTGGTGGAGAAGGAGAAGACACAGGAGAAGCTCGACCTGAAGAAGCGCAAGCCGGTCTACGATCCGACGGCGGAGAATACGGGTATTCTTTCGCAGTACGATGAGGAGATCGAGGGCAAGAAGCGCAAGCGGTTCACCCTCGATGCCCAAGGCTCGTCTCTGGAGGAACGAGAAGCCAAGCGGCAGGAGGTGTCTGATCGCCTGAAGAATAATATCATCAGCCTTGACTTCGAGCCTGAAGTGCCTGCTTCCGATTATATGGATATCAGCGAGGTCAAAATCAAAAAGCCCAAGAAGAAGAAGGCCAAGTCAACCAGGCAAAGAACCATTATCGACGACGAGGATATTGTCACTCCGGCCCAACCGGAGGGCACTCCCAACGGAGGAGGCTCGGAGATGGAGGTTGACTCGACACCCGTGGAGACTGCACCTCGGAAGAAGTTCAACGAGGACGTTTCGTTTGTAGATGACGACGACCTCCAAGCATCTCTGGCTGCCCAGCGACGGATGGCATTCAAAAAACGCAAGAAGATGCGCCCAGAGGACCTCGCCCGGCAATTGCGAGAAGAGGAATCGCAGACCCCCATGGAGGTGGAAACCCCTGAGGAGAACGGAGAGGAGCCAGGACTGGTCATCGACGAAACCTCGGAGTTTGTCTCCAATCTACAGAAACCTACGGTACCCGAACGGGAAGAGAGACGACGAACTTCTACTGAAGAGCCTACCAACGGGGAAGCCACTATAAAGCCCGAGCCTGAGCAAGAGACAGCAGATGGGGACGTGGTGATGGCAGCCATCGATGACGAAGAGGATCTCACAGCCCTCAAAGAGCGCATCAAGCGCGAGGAGTCTGTGGCCCAACCGGAGATTACCGGTACCGGACTCGAGGAAGAAGCCACTCTGGACCAGGGTCTGGGAGCTACCTTGTCCATGCTGAAGCAGCGCGGTCTGGTGAAAGGAACGGACAGCGGCGACCATGTGTCGCTCATGCGCGATCGCCAGCGCTTCCTTCAGGAGAAGGCCAACCGCGAGACGGAAGGCGAGAAGCGGGCTCGCCAGCAGCGCGAGCGGGACCGCGCATCCGGCAAACTGGACCGCATGTCCGCCCGCGAGCGCGAGGAGTACGCCCGCGGCGTCAACAAGCAGCGCGACCAGCAGGATGCACGCCAAGCGGCCGAGATGTTCAACCGCGACTACAAGCCCGACGTCCAGCTGCGGTATGTGGATGAGTTCGGCCGCGCGATGAACCAGAAGGAGGCCTTTAAGCACCTTAGCCACCAGTTCCACGGCAAGGGCAGCGGCAAGATGAAGACGGAGAAGCGGCTCAAGAAGATCGAGGAAGAGAAGAAGCGCGAGGCCATGAGCGCCTTGGATAGTAGCCAGCACACTGGCATGAACAATGCCATGGGGGCGACGGCGCGGAAGAAGGGCCAGGCCGGTGTGCGCCTAGGCTAGACCGTTTACTATTGTGTACATAATTCGAGTGACCTATCCAGGATATTAAAGCCTTGCTGTTTCGGTCATGTCCTCCCGAGTTGCATTTTAGTTAAGTATTCTGCCCCGAGTCGACCCGGGTTGATCAGTCTCCGCGTGTGGGGGACGGATATTCCCTCACAGTTTCCTCCCAAAGTCGGGCACTCAACTCCCGGCCCCTTTCCTCGTGGGTGCCCATGTCGTTGTTTTTGCTGCGCAATTAGGCCGGGTCGTTCATTGGCATGTTGGCAATCCTACTGATCTGCATCCATACAGATTGCAAAACAGGACAATTAACAAAAACATGGCCTCAAATCTCTCCATGTCGATGTCATACGCCTGTATTTACCCCAACTGGGCGTGAGGAGAGAGTGGAGCCCGCCTGGATCAGCTCACCGGGAGGCATCGTCCGATATCACGCGATCGGAGAGGGCCGTCAGGGGACGAGGTACGTATTATCATGATTATGATGATGCTGATGATTTGGGCTATGAATTCTTTGAGGAGACTTGTATATGCTATCCAACCAGAATGATTGTTGTCTATAATTCGTAGTTGGAAGTCCATCTCCCAACTCATACTCTTGGTATTTACCGGCGTATGCCATTTACCCGGTGCTACCAACCAATCCCGTCTCGGGCGCTGTTCTCGCCGGGCACTATGTACTGGTACTTAGTTAGTGGTACAGATGACTATGGCAGTGGAAGTACCTCTACACCCACATGAGTCAGGTTGTCCACCGCAGCATCTCCGACCATTTATTGTTCGCCCTTCCCGGTTCCTCCCTTGCCCCCTTGGTTTCCATCCTCCATTCCATATTGTTTCCAGCTCAATTTTTTGTTCTTTCTCTTCTGTACCTGCCCATCCATCATGCTCTCCACTCTGAGAGTCGCCAGCCGCTCGGCTGCCTCGCGTGAGGCCAACTTCCGCACCGTCGTCATCGGTGCCAGACATGCTTCGGCCTGGGCCAATGTTCCCCAGGGTCCTCCTGTAAGCTAAGCTCGCGATGGTCAATTCCACTACTGGCCCAATGCTAATTGTCTGGTCGCGTGCTAGGACGCCATTCTCGGAATCACCGAAGCATTCAAGGCCGACTCCTTCAAGGAGAAGATCAACCTGGGCGTGGGCGCCTACCGTAAGCTCTTCCACGGACACACACCTACTTTCCAGGCTTGCTAATGGGATCGGGTTCCATCAGGCGATGACATGGGCAAGCCATACGTTCTGCCCTCTGTTCGCACCGCCGAGGACAAGGTCGTCGCGTCGCGCTTTGACAAGGAGTACGCCGGCATCACAGGTGTGCCCGCCTTCACCAACGCCGCTGCCGAGCTGGCCTACGGCTCCGACTCCCCTGTGATCAAGGACAACCGCCTGGTCATCACCCAGACCATCTCCGGCACTGGCGCGCTGCGCATTGGCGGCGCGTTCCTGGAGCGCTTCTACCCGCACGCGAAGAAGGTCTACCTGCCTAACCCCAGCTGGGCCAACCACAACGCCGTCTTCAAGGATGCCGGTCTCGAAGTTGAGAAGTACCGCTACTACAACAAGGACACCATCGGCCTGGACTTTGAGGGTCTGATCGCCGATATCAAGGCCGCCCCGAACAACAGCATTATCCTTCTCCACGCCTGCGCGCATAACCCTACCGGCGTCGACCCCACCGAGGACCAGTGGCGCCAGATCAGCGACGTGATGAAGCAGAAGGGCCACTTCGCCTTCTTCGACATGGCCTACCAGGGCTTTGCCAGCGGCAACGCCGACAAGGACGCCTTTGCGCCGCGCCACTTCGTCAAGGAGGGCCACAACATCGCTCTGTGCCAGAGTTTCGCCAAGAACATGGGTCTGTACGGCGAGCGAGTTGGCGCCTTCTCGCTGGTCTGCGAGTCTGCCGAGGAGAAGAAGCGCGTCGAGTCGCAGATCAAGATTCTCATCCGGCCCTTCTACTCCAACCCGCCCATCCACGGCGCCCGCGTTGCCTCCACCATCATGAACGACCCGGAGCTGAACCAGCAGTGGCTCGGCGAGGTCAAGGGCATGGCGGACCGCATCATCGAGATGCGCTCGCTTCTGCGCACCAACCTCGAGCAGCTCGGCAGCAAGCACGACTGGTCCCACATCACCAGCCAGATCGGCATGTTCGCCTACACCGGCCTCAAGCCCGAGCAGATGGATGTCCTTGCCAAGGAGCATTCCGTGTACGCTACCAAGGACGGCCGTATCTCCGTCGCTGGTATCACCTCTGGCAACGTGAAGAGACTCGCCGAGGCCATCTTCAAGGTGACCGGCTAGATTTATAGAAATAGTCTGGATTGAGGGTTGAAGAAGGAGAAAACACGACCAGAATCGAGGGAAAAAAAACAGAGCGGAAAGAAAAACGGGAGGGAGATTCGGGATCATCTATATATCACGGAGGTGGTTTGATCTGTCCCATTGTATTCATATCTAATGGCTCTCTGTTTTTATACTATTTAGCATGGCGCGGCTTTGTGTCCGTCTGAGCAGGAATTTGATTTGTTCTTTTGTCATCCTCCTCTCCTCGTACTTGGGTCCGGGTTAGGTCAATCTGCCTTGGTCTCAACTTCAGTTGTCCACTCACTCACCAATCTACTTCGATTCCACCAGCCCCTTCACAATAACAGAGGCTTCATCCAGCGCCTTCTCAAACCGAGCAACCTGCCCCGTGGGTCCTACAACCGAGAACCGAGCCCTAGAAATCCGGTCAGCATCTACTATAACACAATAAAGCTTAGAAAAGCAAAGACTTACTCCTCTTCCCAGATAGAATAGCACACCCACACACCCTCGGGATCAATCAACGCAAACGCCGAATCCAAAGACCCGCCATCCGTCAATCCAGACATAATAAACCGGGGATACGTCCTCAGCCAAACGGGATCCGTAAACAGCGGCGCCAACGGCTGTCCAGCCGGCCACATCGTCTCCAGCACTGTCAGAAGCCGGAAATAGTTGCTTCCCTTTCCACAAACTTGCAGACCAGCCGTGTACTCGTTCGCAGCGCAGATGAGCATCTCGCGCTTTTCGGGAGTGGGAATGTTGTTGTCGATTGCGGAGGAGCAGAACTGTCCCACGGATGCTAGCACGCCTTGGAAGATCTCTGTTCGGCCCTTGTGGAAATGAGCCATGGACATCGGCTCCCACGAAGCTGGATTGTGGCCGAAATACAGCTTGCTGGCTAGTTGGATTGTTACGTCGAAGACGGATTTGATCGGGCAGCCGTGTGCGGCGAGCATGTTCTTGCCGAAGTGATTCAGGGTTAGGTAGCCGTATTCCCGAGCTGATGTGACTTGGAGGTGCTCTTGTCGCAGTGTCTGCATGTGCGTGTCAATCTCTGGGGTTGTGGTTAGAGTGTATTCGGTCAGTTGGATAGCTGGCAAGGTTCCGTTTGAGCCGTTGACCTGGGTTTCGGGGGTATATTCGCGGATAGCTTCGTGAATCCACTCGTTCATGCGGTGCACGGTCAGTCCGTCGATCTTGGAGTGCTCGACTATGTAGCCAGAAGAACCGTTTTCACAGACTGTAAATTGCAGGCCCTTGTCGAACCAGCGGTTAAATCCATCGCCTAGGAACGCCTTGCGGACACGCTCTGGTCCCGTGGTTGGGGCGCCGTCGTCGAGGCAGAGCACGAATGCGGCTTGCTCGATAACGCGGATATACTCTGCATTCGCGCTGTTCATGGAGACGAGCCTCTCGCGGATCTATACGTGTGCATTAGTTAAGAACAACGATTGACGGAGAAAAGATCCTACCGTGGCCCAGGAATCCCGATTGTCGTTGGTCAGGATACCAGTCCACACGCCTTCATCCTGGACTTTCTCTAAGATACCGTCGAATGTGGCCTTGATTGTCGCATACGGCACCACTTCATCCCCTGACTTGAGAGGCACACTGAAGACATGACCCCGTCTCAGAACAACGCAGTAATCATTACCGGGGTACTTCTTCATTTGGTCAATATCCAGGTGCGGCTCGCGGGTCGTGTTGAAGAGCCAATCCCATGAGGACATGCAAGACGGGATATGGAAATACCAGTGCGGTTCGAGTGAGCCTGCCTCAACGGCTTCCTTGAACCGGAAAGCCGTCGTCGCAATCAGTGCGGCTCTTTCTGCTTGGCCCTGCGGCGTGGGAGTGTCGTGGTGCGAGGCGAAGAAGCTCGACATCGGGACCAGGGGGAATCGTTTCTTGAGGAACAGCGCGTCGGTGACCAGGTCCGCGATCCAACTCTCGACTGCTGGATCGTTTGCCTGGGCTTGGAGTTGGGCGTAGAGCTGGCGGCCTGTGCTTGCTGGATCCCGGAAGTTGAGAACCGCTTGCTTGATGTTGTCGTATTCTCCGCCTGAAGCGAAGTGCCGCGTGCTTGAAAGGACCATGTCGAGCGCCTCGTCTAGATCCATCAAAGGCTGTCTGGGGAGATCCTTTGCATACCGGCAGCACTCAAGGGAGTGATTTGGCTGGATCTTCTCCTCTTCTGTTGGTCCCTCTCCTGTCTGCATAGGTACATCTTCAGGCTGCTCAGACTCGGTCTGGATACCGCGCAGCTTATCGCTGACCAGCTTGGAACGCGAAGTGATTGTTTTTGCGAGTGACACGACACTCAAGGCATCGGCAATTTCCGATGTCTGCAGCGTCACCTGGAAGGTGCGGACCATCCAGTTCTTCAGCTCGATCGAGACGAGCGAGTCAAGACCAAAGGCTGCGAGAGACTGGTCCAGGTTGACATCCTCCAGGGCTCGGTCCATGAACAGCGCAAACTTCTCAGCGATGGCGTGCGTGATGATCTCCTCGGCCTCGGAGATTGATGCTGCATGACGAATGGCCTTTTCAGTGTCCATCTTGTCTGAAGACCCATCTCCCGAGTTTTGCTGCTCTGAGAGGTAAGGAACTTGGCTGAACAGAGGATTACTGAGCCCGAATGTGTCTTGAACCGTCTCCATAGATTGTCGGTCGAAGCCCGTGATGGTTTGAACACAGTTGTCCCGACGAGCCTGAGGTCCCATCGAGTACTCCAGCATCTTGAACAGCTCTTCGAATTTCACCAAGATAGCACCTTGACGCATCAGATCCTGCTGCCGGACCGGCAGCGATGTGATGGCATCTGACCCGTCTATGGCACCCAGATTGAGCGAAATGTATTGGGTGTGGGATTTCCCGGCATGGGCATGAGCAAATGCATCTTGAAATGCGTTTCCTGCAGAGTAATTGGCCTGACCGGTCTTGCCGATGATGCAGGTAATGGACGAGAGTGTGATAAAGAAGTCAAGCTTTGGACTGTGTAAGGCCGAGTGCAAGTTGATTGTACCCTGTGTCTTGGGCTTAGTCGCTTGCGTGTAGTCTTCGGGTGTCATGAGTTCGATTGGGTGGTCCTGGAAGTACCTAGGTCAGCATCTAACGAAAAAAATAATTAAAAAGAGTCTTACTCGCAAAACCATGCCTGCATGGATGACTCCCTTAACCGGCGGCAGGTTTTCTCTGCAGTAGACCTCTGCTTGCTGAACTGAGGTCTTGTCCGTAATGTCACACTTGACAATGTGCAGCATGCATCCAAGTTCCTGGATCTCATTCTCAAATATCTGTCGGTCATCTTCAGACAACTCCCGACGCGAAAGGGTCACCACGTGCTTGGCTCCATGTGCTGCCAGCAGCCGACAGATCCTCTTACCAAGATCTCCCAGACCACCGGCAACAACATAGCTTCCTGCAGGATCCAGTTGTAGCGGTGCTGGTCTGCCCAAGACGGCCTTTACCGTAGCTCCAGGCTCTGCCTCCACTACGACCTTTCCGGTATGTTTGCGCGATGCAATCAAGCGGAAGGCCTCCTCAATCTTGGCAACAGGGTAGGTCGTTATCGGAGCCACAGGTGCAAGAATGCCCGTCTCAAACATAGACATCACCTTCTTGAACTCTTCGTTCATCCGCTCCATCTGAGTCTCGAAGAGAACAACAAGATCAACAGCTGCAAATGTCACACTGCGGTCGAAAGGTATCATGCTCAAGTGACCTCGCTTGTAGATATCACTCTTACCGATTTCGACAAATGTGCCGAGAGGAGCAACACATTCCCACGAATCATTGAGCCATTCTCCAGAGAGGGAATTGAGGACCACATCCACACCCTTGTTTTTCGTGAGACGCAGAACACCATGCTTGAAGGTCCTTGACCTGGTCGAGAAGATATGACTCTCTGGAATGTTGTATTCGTCGATCAGTAACTGCTTCTTAGCCGTGCTGCCCACAGTCGCAAAGATTTCTGCTCCAATATGTTGTGCGAATTGGATCGCCGCTTGACCAACACCTCCTGAGCCTGCGTGAATCAGAATTGTTTGACCTTTCTGAAGTCTCGCAACTTTGAATATGCAGTGGTAGGCCGTCATGAAGATAATGGGAATGGATGCGCCAGACGCAAATGAAATAGAGTCAGGGAGCGAGCAGGCCATCAAGCCCTTGACCCGGGCCCGACTGGTGAATGGCTGTGCTCCGACACCCGCAACTCGGTCTCCAACCTTGAACCGTGACTGCATTGATGATCCCACTGCGGTGACGACGCCAGCCACCTCGCCGACCATGTTGATACCGGGGAGCATCTGGCCCAGAGCAATGAAGACGTCCTTGAAATTGACGCCATACGCCATAGCCTTGATTTCCACCTCCTCTGGAGATAGGTCGGCGGTGATAGAATCATCGTCCACAAATCTGAGACTGCTCAAGAGACCCGGCGTCTCGACATGAAGCTTCAACGCGCGGCCCTCCTGTTGATACGGACATATATCAAGCCGGTCACTGCCAACAGCCTGGTCGATCCATTCATTGAACTGGGTGTCGGGCTGTACTCGAGGAATATGGACTAGACCATTGCAGATAGCATACTCCTGCTCAATGGACCTCTGCGACTCTGAAGTTGGCCAGAAGCAAGCAGTAGCAATGTCCAGAACTGTCTTGATAAGTTCAGGCCCAAAGTCGGCAATGTCCTCCTGTACATCCAAAGTAATAAACTTGATGCCCTCGTTTTCACGTCGTGCTACGCGGGACATTCCATTCACCAGACCCTTCGCCGCAGTTCCCTCTGTAGATATAGTTGACTGGGCGTTGATCCAGAGGAGGGACCTGCTGCTGATAAAGAGCATTTTGAGTCTTTCAAACTCTTCGGGCGACGGATTAAGTAACAATGGATGGTCCATATCATCCAATACCACGTATGTAGTATTTAAGTCGAACGACTCCTGGGAGTTCCATGCAGATATGATACTCTCGATGCCCAGATCTTGGAGTGCCGT